GGGTTTTGATGCTACTGAAATGAAATAAGTTTTTATATTCCATTGTTTGCTAATATTAGAAATACAATGACTTTTAAATACAAATATACAAAATATAAAACATACAATGACTTTTGTATATTAAACATAATACTTTAGTTATAGCATTACTATAATGCTAAATTCACTTATTAGGTTTGGTAATTTTTTTTTGTAGATGCCCAAAGACTCTATGTGTACAATCATGTTGTTCATAAATAAAGATAGTTTGGCCTCTCATCCTCCACTTAATGAGTATGCCATTTATTTCTTTTACTTGCCTTATTACACTGGATAGTACCTCCCGTGAAATGTTTACTATAAATGCAGAGAGTGTATATCCTTGCCTTGTTCACAGTCTTGGTAGGAAAGTGTTAAAAATTTCACAAATAAGTATCATGTTAGCTATAGGTTTTTTATAATTGCCTTTATCCAGTTGAGAAAATTAAATTCTGTTCCTACTTTGCCAAGAGCTTTATAATGATTGATTGGGTGCTGAATTTTGTCAGATACTTTTTACTATTACCATTGAGATGATAATTTTTTTGTTATTTTGTTAATGCTGTGAATTAACATTGATTTATTTTTAAAAGATTGATCAAACTAACATTCCTGAGAAAAAGTTACTTCTCAATAATGTATTATACAATGCTATATTTAACATATTAACTAATTTATTTTGTTAAGAATTTTGAATTGATGTTCATGAGTTATTGGTCTGTACTTTTCTTCTAATGTTAATGTCAAGTTTTAGTATCAAGGTTAGGCTGGCTTCACAAAATATTAATATATTGGAAGTGTTCTCTCCTCCTTTATTTTCTAATATATTTTATGTGAAATTTGTTTTATATGATCCTTAAATATGTGATAGAATTCACCAGAATACTCCTTTTCTGACTTATATTGTATTTTCTTTGTGGGAAATTTATAATTTTTAAATTTAATTATTTTAACAACTATATAACTCTTAAGATTTCCTATTTTGTCATACATCAATGTTAAGTTGTGTTTTTAAAGCTATTTGACTACATCATCTAAATTTGTTGAGGCCACACATGGTGGCTCACACCTGTAATTCCAACATTTTGGGGGGCTGAGGTGGGAGGATTGCTTGAGGCCACGAGTTTGAGACCAACTTGACCAATATAATAAGACCCCATCTCTACAAAATAAAAAGAAAAATTAGCCAGATGTGGTAGCACACACTGTAGTCCCAGCTACTTGGGAGGCTGAGGCAGGAGGATCACTTGAGCCCAGGAGTTTGAGGTTGCAGTGAGCTATGATAACAACACTGCTCTCTAACCTAGGCAATACAGTAAGATCCTGTCTTAAAATAAATACATATTTTTTTAATTTATTTCGGTATATTTGTTTATAATATTCCCTTATTGTCATTGCAATAACTGTAGTTATAGCCTCTCTTTCATTTCTCAGGCTGTAATTTTGGTTAAAAAATGACTTTATTCTTGATTGTTCTTGCTAAAGTTTATATTTTACTAAACTTTTAAAAAAGCAACTTTTTTCTTTGTTATTTATACTGATGGTTTGTTTTAAATTTCATTGTCTTCTGCTTGTATTTTCATTTCTTTCTTTTCATCTACTTACTTTGCTTTTAATTTATTTTTCTTTCATGAGCATATAAGGTTAAAAAGACATTCATCTTAAACCATTATTTCTCCTTTAATATAACCATGTAAAGCTATACATTTTCCTTTAAGCACTGTTTTAATTGCATCTAAAAGATATTGACATATTTTATTTTTCTTAACATTTGGTTTTCAATTCTTTATTTTCCTGTGATGATTCTTTGACCCATGGATTACTTAGAAGAGTGTTGTTTAATTTCTAAATATTTGAGGATTTTCTATACATATTTTTGTAATTGACTTCTACTTTAATTCAGTTGTGGTCAGACTATATTCTCTATATAATTTCAACCCCATAGAAGGTATTGAGACTTGGTTTATGTTCCAGTATATTGTGTCTCTCTCTTTTTTTTTTGTATTTTATTTTATTTTATTTTATTTTATTTTATTTTATTTTATTTTATTTATTTATTTATTTATTTTTGAGACAGAGTCTCACTTTGTTGCCCAGGCTAGAGTGAGTGCCGTGGCGTCAGCCTGGCTCACAGCAACCTCAATCTCCGGGGCTCAGCGATCCTACTGCCTCAGCCTCCCGAGTAGCTGGGACTACAGGCATGCGCCACCATGCCCGGCTAATTTTTTGTATATATATTTTTAGTTGGTCAATTAATTTATTTCTATTTTTGGTAGAGACGGGGTCTCGCTCAGGCTGGTTTCGAACTCCTGACCTTGAGCAATCCGCCTGCCTCAGCCTCCCAAAGTGCTAGGATTACAGGCGTGAGCCACCACGCCCGGCTATTTTATTTTATTTTATTTTATTTTATTTTATTTTATTTTTATTTTAGGATATTATGGGGGTACAAACATGTTGGTTACATGTTATGACTTTGCCTCACCCAAGCCAGGATTAGAGGCTTGTCCTTCCCCCATACAATGCTCACCACATCCATTAGTTGTGAGTTTACCCAATTCCATTCCCCCAACCCTCAATGAATATTACTACAATGTGAGCACCTTAGTGTTGATCAGTAAGTGCCAAGTTGATAGCAAGTACATGTCGTGCTTATTCTTCCATTCTTGTGATATCTCACTTCGGAGGATGGGCTCAAGCTCTATCCAGGATAATATAAGAAGTGCTAGTTCACCATTGTTTTTTGTAGTTGAGTAGTAATCCATAGTATACATACACCACATTTTATTAATCCACTCATGTATTGATGGGCACTTGCATTGTTTCCACATCTTTGCAATTATGCATTGTGCTGCTATGAACATTCAAGTGCAAATGTGTTTATTATAGAATGTCTTTTGTTCCTTTGGGTAGATGCTTGGTAGTGCTCTTGTGTCTCTTAATGATTGTTCCATGTAGACTTGAAAATAAGGTCTATTCTGCAGTTGTGAGAAGCATTGTTCTGTAAAAGTCAATTAGTTCAAGTTGGTTGATATAGTTATTCAAATCTTCTGTATTCCTATTTCAATTAAACTCTGAAAGGTATTGACATCTCCAGCTATGATTATAAATTTATTTTTACCATTAGTCAGTTTTTGTTTAATGTATTTTGAAACTCTGTCATTATGTTCATATTTATAATTATTATGTATTCTTAACTAGTCCTTTTCACATTATGAAATATTTTTCCTTATTTCTGCTAATACTCCTACTCTTAATGTCTACTTTGTCTTTTTCTATGCATTTCCACTAGCTTTATTATATTTACCACTTGTGTGGTATGACTTATTTTCCATCCTTTTACTCTCTTCTTCTCTGTGTCTTTACAATTAAAATGAATATCTTATAGACAGCAAATAGTAGAGTTTTTTTTTTTTTTTTTACCCAGTCTTAGAATATCTGCTTTATAATTAGGGTTTTCATTCCATGTACATTTATGTAGTTGTGTTCATGTCTATGATTTTGGTATTTGTGTTCTCTTTGTCATATTTGATTTTTGTTTCTCTAATCCTCCTTTTCTGACTTGTATTAAATGAATATTTTAGCATTCCATTTTAATTTCTTTATTGTCTTTTTTAAAACAATTTTTCTGTTTCTTATAGTATGCATCCTAATTTATTATAGTCTGCTTAGAGTTAATATTTTACATAAAATAAGATTAATAGAAGGAATAAAAAGTCAGTGTTTTATATTATACACATTTTCATCTTTTCCTGTGCTTTATATTTTCTATGGAATTTAATTTCTATCTGTCATTAGGGTGGGGCTATTTCAGTTTTGCCCTTAATCCTAGGGTACTTCCCCCACTCTAGATTGTGTTCCTTACTTTAGAGAATGGCCTTTAATTTAGTGTATGGTCTTTATTTTTACAACTGGTTTACATATCATCTCTTCACTCCAACTAAGCCAAAATTCTAATATCTGCCTGCCCTACACAACTTTTGGCATTTCAGCTTCCAGCCTCAAAACAACCAATCTCTGCTAAGTTTTGCAGAGTCTTGCTCTGCGCATACGTATGTCAGCCCTTCATTGAGAAGTGCACTGAATGCCCACAAAGCTTTTGCACTTCTCTCTCTTTGCCTTCACCCCAGGCTTCTTCTTCTCTTGTAAAATGCCCCAAATTCCACATTCTTCAGCAACACTGATCTCCCATCTCTGCATCCTTAATTCAGTTTCTTCACTGCTCTGTTTAGCTTCCTCCTTCTTTATTGTGGCAGAAAGCATGCATGTGGGGCAAGCCTCACACGTTTGTTTTCTCTCAAGGTTCACAGTCCTGATCTGCTCGTTGCTAAATAAATATCTAGAAAGCAGTTGCCTCTTGTATTTTGTCCAATTTTATGGTAATTTTCAGTAAGAGGGTGAGTCCAGTACCATATGCTTACTCCATCGTGGCTGGAAACAGAATTCCCTGTGATTTACTATTTTAAGATAAACAAAATGGGTAAAAACTTATCCACATAAGGTCACATTCACCAAAATTTCAGTGTGGAGTTTGAGTGCCAGAGAATCAGACACAGTGTTAAATTGCAAAATGCTTTGAATAACTACAGACATACCTTTAAGAGTATGTCCTGGAAATGAGTGTTGTCTATCCTGGGGGTTATGAACCAGAGATTGAGTGTTGTTCCCAAGAGGGAGCCCAAAGGTTTCTATGATGTTGTTCTTTCCTAGAACACATTCTAAGTTACCTATAGGACTGTTAGAGACAAGCTCACCAGTCTTCTAACATTATTGCCTACATATCACAGTTCCAATATTTCCTTTGCAGTTACTTATTTGAGTTCCATGGATCTTTTCAGGAATTAAGTGTGCTACCACGATAAATGCGAGTTGGGCAACAAATTTGCATATCTCACATCTAATTTATTACATATCAGAGAAGCTAGCTCCTATGGGAGCAATAAACCAGGTACCCTCCAAGTCTGAGTATCAACACTAGTCTTATTTGCAGTTGGTGCTTACAGTCCTCATCACACTGCAGTGTGGTCATCCTCTGCTCCTGGCTTTCCTCTCTGTTGCAGCTTCATGGAACATCATTCCTGTTTATTCCTGGATCCATTGTCTAATAGTTGATTTCAGTGCCATTTCCTTATTTCATGGAAAGAGATGTGCTCACAGCAGTACTGGATAGTTTGTTCATTCAACCAATATTATCATAATATGGATGTTTTCCAGCCACTTATCTAAATGTAGGAGAGAGAGCAGTGAACACAAAGTCAGGCTCTTGCTCTTGTGGAACTATGAAGTCTAGCAGACTCACACTAACCCAGAAACCATTCCACCATGAATTTGCTCCAAGATGGAAGTCTAACTAAGAGTACTTAGGAGACGAATTTCTTCACTGGGGAATCCGCAGCAGGATTATAATTTACCTTCCTACCTCCCTTAAGTGTGTGTTTCATCTGTGAACCAATGTTGGAGGTAAACACAGTATAGGAGGAAAGTGAAGATCTTCGAGTATTTTTATTTTAATTAGCCACTGTGTTAAACACATTCATGAGAGCTTCTGGTCAGACATAAGCCTGGGTTGTTCTCTGGTCACACAGCCCATGTTTGGAAATACTCTGAGGCATGTTACATACATGTCTACCAGAGAGAATGCTTTACCTACTGTGGGCCACTCCAGCAGCTGTCTTGCTCCTGCCACATTCTGCTTGAATTCAGTAATTAGGAACTTGGCCAAATTGCAAACTTTCACACACATACGTTATCTTTACCCTGCTGGTTAGGAATTCATCTATGCATTAAAAAAATCCTAACTATATGAGGTATGTGTGCATATTAATACTAAAGTAGCTTTGTGCTACTTCCAGATGTTGACAATGTTTACATTTTCTGCTATTTTCAAGAATGAAATACTTTATATGCATGAAATTTTCTAAATAACATTTATCAAAATAAAGACTCAAAATATTTAACTATTTTGATAGATTTCTATTAAAATTATACTTTTAATAAATAGCACAATGAATATAATGTCATCCTTAGTTCATTATAACCATTTTTGTATTAGAGTGTACAGCAAGACTACATGTCCATCAGGCTATTCAGTTAGTGTTTCTGTTGCCTTTCTAACACATGTAAGTGTCAGCTTCTAGAAGCTTCTCCTCATCCCACGTTTGTTAATAATCTCTCTGGATTAGTTTGGCAAACAATATTAGTTTACTAATGAAGAGGTTAGTTAAGATTGTTGAATAAGTAATTTTTACTTTATAATACAAAGACAATAGAATAGTGAAGTTATATGGGCTTTGTGATTTTTTTTTCATTGTAGAGTATAACATTTAAAGCAGGTTTTTTTTCTGATAAAGCATATCTGTGTTCTGATTGTTTGCTATAATACTGACCTCTAGGCATATTTCTATGTGTATGTGCTATATATAATATGTGCATATTATTATATATAATAAGGTTATATTGTTATTGTAGGCCCATTGTTGCTTATATCTAAGGGAAAGATAAAACTAAATAAAGTTGCATTTCTCAGAGAAACATTACTTTTTATAAATAGTACTAAGAATGTCAAAAGAATTAAAAGTAGAACAGATGTTAGTATAGTCATGCTAAGATTGGCATCTTTACCATATCATTTTTAGAAATCCATCTCAAACTACATATTAGATGTTAGAGAATAGTCCTAGTTTCAGTAACATAAAAGTAATAATTTTTTTCATTTATGTACTCAGTGCGAAGCTGGGAGATGGATTATAGTAATTAGTGGGAATCCAAACTTTATAGCACATTACAGTTGTTAATGGGTCATCTTAATTTTCATACTTTACCACATGAAACTTATTTTAGGGAACATTAAAAATGTCCCTAGCCTAAGCTAAGAAAAGTGTAGAGTAATCAACAGAACTGGGACTTCTTCCCTGTAATGGTGGTGATCTAACAGTAAAACAGACTGTGGAGGCAGAACCCAAACCTGAAAGCGTATGGTAAGCGTGAGTCACTAGCAGAACTCTATATAGGGATGAGAGCATCAGATGGAGCCCCAAAGAATCCTCTATGGTCATGGATCCCCCTTCACCAACCAGGCCAGAAGGTGATGAATGAGTCTGTTGGTCAGTATAGCTTTTGGTATTCAGAGATAACTTTTACGTTTTACCAGCCCTGCTGCATCCCTCTTACTGGTTTTTAACATCCATACCACAGCCTCTACCTGTTAGCTGTTACAACTCACACCTGCAAAGTTCTTCAGAAGACTTAGGCTTGAACTCTTAGGAACCACCTTCCTGGGAGCATCTTAGAGTTTACAGGGCACCTGGGGAGGTGTGTAGCTAATGATTGATCGAAGACAGAATGCAGGCTGGGCGTGGTGGCTCATGCCTGTAATCCTAAGTACTCTGGGAAGCTGAGGCGGGAGGATCGCTCGAGGTCAGGAGTTCAAAACCAGCCTGAACAAGAGTGAGACCCTGTTTCTACTAAAAATAGAAAGAAATTAGTGGGACAACTAAAAATATATAGAAAAAATTATCCGGGCATGGTGGCACATGTCTGTAGTCCCAGCTACTCGGGAGGCTGAGGCAGGAGGATAGCTTGAGCCCAGAGGTTTGAGGTTGCAGTGAGCTAGGCTGATGCCATGGCACTCTAGCCCAGGCAACAGAGCGAGACTCTGTCTCAAAAAAATAAATAGATAAATAAAAGACAGAATGCAAAATCCTCTTCCTTGCCTGGAGGAGGAAAAAAAATCCTCTGCAGTCTTTAATCTCTAGATCTATGAGATCGAGTTGAGGTTTGGATGACACTTGCCCTTATCCTATATCTCCTACTCCTTTACCTGTTTCTCTTAGTGGCATTCTCCTAATAAATCATTTGTATACAAATTCTTTTCTAAATGTCTGCTTCTGGGAAACTTGGTCTAAGATAATGGTGGTCTATTCATATCTATTCTTCCATTGCCTTCCATTTAAAGGTCCTAAAAATAATGTTTAACACCATGCAGGATACTAATTGTGAAATAAACAACAAAACCATAATCTTGGGGAGAGATCTCCCTTAGTTCTGACCATCTTCATTGACCATGGGGGGTGGTGTGAGGACCCTTGTCAGAACTAAGAGGTGGGTAGAAGAGAAAACAAGGGCAAGACAGGTTAATAAGGTAGAGAAAGAATTCTGGGCCATGATTCAATAACCTTTCCTGAATATTATAAGCATGTTAGGCTTTCTTTTAGGCATAGGAATGTGTTTCTTGCCCATGGAGCTTATGTTTTAGTTAGAAGAGATATGAGAAAACTGCCAAACAAAAGAAGTATAGATTTGAAGTAGTAGATGGCGGCCTTACTCTGTTTGGGTTGTTATAACAAGATATCATAGGCTGGGTATTGTAAACAACAGAAGTTTATTTCTCACAGCTCTGGAGGCTGGGACGTCTAAGAAACGGTATCTTGAGATACCGCTCATTTTCTGGTTCATAGATGGTGCCTTCTTGCTGTGTCCTCACATGGTGGAAGAGGCTAACTAGCTCTGTAGTGTCTCTTTTATAAGGGCACTGATCCCATTCCTGAAGGCTCCAGTCTCATAATCGTATCACTTCTCAAAAGTCCACACCTCCAATACCATCACCTTGGAGGTCAGGATATCAGCATACAAATTTTGGGAGGACACAGATATTCAGACTATAGCAATGGCTCGAGTAATTATTTCAGGTTTCATAAAGTCCCTCTAGGTTGAAATGTTAATTCTCTTTCACAAATAAAATGACCACTGTCAACATACAATGTTTTTCCCTTTTGCATTCATGCCAGCTGTTGAAGGAAGAAGGAGAAATTTGTCCCTAGTGGGAGCCTGTTTCCCCCACTGCTTCTTGTTGCTGGGTCTCCCAGGCTCGTATTTCATGATCTGACTCTCAATAAATGCAAAATAAATGCTGACTATCTTTGACATCATCTACCAGGAATTAAGATTCAGCTCAACCCCAATATAAGTAACCGACCCTCATTCTGAATTTTATACTTGTTACACCTCCATGGAGACATTACTTCTATAGGAACAACAGTTGTCTGCTTTCTCTCCTTTCCTTTTATAAAACCCAATCTCAATCACTTAACCATATCGTATATTCTTTATCCTAAAGGTATTTACATATTATGTTTTCTCTAAAAATATAGTACTATATATGAAGGATTGCAGTCATCACTTAGCCAGTGAAGGTGGATTTTTTTTCTTAAATCAGTAGCCTTTTTTTACTCCCAAATTCATAGCATGTGTTCTGCCTTCACGTGGTATTAGTTTGCCAGCCAAAAAACCTCCTCCACTGTCATTCTGTAGAAGAAGGCTGCTTCTCAGGGTGATTGAATCAGCTGGTAATTTAATAATAATAAAAGATTAAAATGGGCTCATAAGAATGTTACAAGCGTACCTTAAGCAATTCTAAACATTTAACATATAAATGAATGCATATTCACATGGCAATTATTTGACAATAGACTTCCTTATAACTATGGGTCCATGATTAGAGTTCCATAGTTCTATTTATTTGTTTTAGAGACAGGGTCTCACTTTGTTGCCCATGCTGGAGTGTAATGGTATCATCATATTAATAGCTCACTGCAGCCTCAAACTCCTGGGTTCAAGGGATCCTCCTGCCTCAGCTTTCTAAGTAGCTAGGACTATAGCTGCATGCCACCACACCTGCTAACGGCTATTTTTTTTTTTTCTTTAGAGTCAGGGTCTCACTGTGTTGCCCAAGCTGGTCTCGAACTCCTGGTCTCAAGCCATCCTTTGGTCTTGGTCTCTCTCCCAAGTCACTAGAATTACAGTCATGAGCCACCATGCCCTGCCTTAGAGTTCTATTTCTTATGTAAACCACATCCATAATGTATTGTTCACAATTTCCAGTTTCACCTCTTTATGATGCAGAAAGCAAACAAATAAACAAAAACCTAAAGAAATTTGCAAAGCAATCTAGTTCTAAAATTATTTTAATTTTTGTGAATTATTTTTGCCCTTCTCTATTCCAATTCAATTAGTTTGTGCCTAATAATTATTGACTCTTTGCAAAGCATTCAATGTATTTTTTTATAGGTACAACGAACTTTCCTTTTACTTTCATATTTGCATAGTATTTTATTTTAGTTATTTTTTATAGTTTGCTTATTTAATTAAGTTATATAATTACAATAACAATTTTGACTGGAACCAAAGGTTTGGGAACAAACAACTAAACTAGTGGAAAAATAAT